TTCCCAGGAAGAATCTTAGATGCTAATCTTTGTGCTGTGAGAACTCCTGGTTCATATGCTGAAATTTAGAGACATATTCTCAGAATAACTGTTTTAAATGTTTAAGATAGAATATGTAAGATTACAAGGAAAACCAGGTTTTTTGATATATTGTAATCAAATTATTTCTTTTTTAAAACGAATCATTAAATAACAGGATCTAAGGGTAGATCTTTTAACTACCATAATATCAAAGAAATGATGAATATATAAATATAGATGTTTATAGGTATCTGTGTCCACTCTATTTTTAAAATTTTTTTTAGTTGTAGATGGACACACAATATCTTTACTTTTATGTGGTGCTGAGGATGAACCCAGTGCCTCACACGGCAAGACAAGCACTTAACCACTGAGTTACAGTCCCAGCCCCTCTGCATTCACTCTATATTAATATATTTGTGCTTTTTATTGGTTATATTACAAGCACCAACAGTATTGTGATTTGCTGCCAATATTTACAATAGAAAAAATGCTGGATTTATTAGATGTTAATGACCTCCCAATCTGTCAACTCAGGATAGCAGTAGTACCCAATTCCATCAGTTGTTTTAAGAATTTAAAAATATACTGTATGTGAAAAATCTCTGCAAAATGCGTAAAGCCTCCTTGTATATTAATAAAAATTTATTTCTCAACAATAAAACTGGATTTCTTAAAGGCAAGATGACATTGCGAAGTTATAAAGAGAAACATGAAAAAGGGTGAACATCTCTGTTTTAAATCATATAAATGCCCTCACTTTAGAATTACAAATCTTTAGAATTACAAAACTTTTGGTTCAAAACACAGATTTTAATGAGTGTGATCATAGATCATTAAGTGAAGAAACCTGGCTGGTATGATGTTGATAAATATATGACCTGAATCTTAAAGTAAATTATTTCATTTTTCAAGAACTAAACATTAATAACAAGATGACCAGGTTAAGAAGTAGACAAATTATTCAATGTAATATCATGCACACATTGAAATGTTAAAAAAAAAAAACTAACAACACACCAAAAAAGCTCATGATGTAATGTTAAATACAGCAGTCATAAGCCTTCTTGGATATATTCAGCTGTAAGATCTTCTTTGGCACTACTATTATGTTAGTTTGGATTATGATTCATTCTGACTACAAAGATTTCTATTTTCTTGGATCCAATTTGCAATTTTTAATAGAAAATATCATTAGTTACAAATTGTTCTTTCAGTTTATCCCACTTTACAGTTCAAATTTCATCTAAACTATTCCTAACTCTGTCAACAACTTCATCATCTCTAAGCCAAGCTATTTTCAAAACTTATACAGCTGTGAAAGATAATCTAGTGCTTTAGTTTACTTGGGTTTTTTTACTCCCCTGCTGCTGTTTTTATTATCCAATCAAGGGTATAAACAAGAAAATATAACATAACTTCAAAGCATTTCAAAAACAAAGATTCCGGTCATTTAAGATAATGCGAAATTATAACTAAGACCAATACTAAGTAGATCTAAGATTAACATCAGTCCCTTTTTTTTTTTCCTCTACTGACCCATTTTAATAAAAAACCTGGTTTTGGAAATACACACTATCTCTGAACAGCTGGACACAGATGCAATGATTAAACTAAAGCATGAGATACCAAATGGTAAAACATTTAATTTCTAAATTTATGACACAAGAACTGCTTAGAAATCAAAATTATACACAGATGGCTATTATATCATACTTTCACTAGAATAAAATAATGCAGTAAGATAGGAAAAACCACACTACATTTGTCAACAAAACAGAATATGATTTTGAGAAACTGTCACTGGACTGCCTTTAAGATTAACTCTACAATGATTAAAATCAATCTATAGAAAATCAACTTTTATAATGGCCTAACTAGTCTGGGTCCTTCAAAAGAGTACAATAGGTCTTTAAATCAAATGATAACTCTACTGCAGAGACAGAAATACTAAGTAAATACTAAAGAAAAGTGAAGAAAAATAAACAGTGTTACTGCTAAAATTTGTCTTTGTTAAATGATTAAACACATCTACCCACTCAAAAAGACATGAATATCTAAATAACATAACATGTTTACTAGCTCCAAAAATGTATGTGTGTGTTTGTGTATGTGTGTGTGTATTTGTGTGTGTGTATGTGTGTGTCTATATATATATATATATATATATATATATATTTTTTTTTTTTTTAATGTTGGCCTAGGTGTAAAAATTATAGCCATTGGCAGTGAGACATACAGAAAGGTGAGGCCTTAATAAAAAGCTGTAGGGCTGGTACACAAAAGTTAATAGATGCTTAAAGAAATAAGGAGGGAAAAAAAGACAATCTTTCAAAATAATGATTGGAGAAATCACTAAGCAGCAAGATAAACAGAAACAAATACATGGGATTTTCATTTAGTTACTGAAAATGAGTAGTTCATGTACAGTGATCTAAAGCAGGATTTGGAGAAGTTCCCATGTTGTAGGATACCTGTAAATCTGCTTTGATCCTGGCATTAATATACACTGTCTACCTACATGGGATAGGCTGCTGCCAGGCTCCCTCCCTCCACTGAAAAGCCCTAACCCAAAATTCACATGATATTTACAACCCAGGATACTTCAAATTTATTAACTCCTTATTAAACACAGCATGTGTAGGTAATTTCAAGAAATAAGAAACTACAATAAACAGAAGGGTTTATTTATTTGATAATAATTAATTTTCCCCAATTAATAATATCTAACATTTCATTCATAAATGGGGGAAAATCTCATTGCAAATTTTACAGCTAAAACCACTGAAAATGTTAAATAATACCTCAAGAATTTGAATTTTCCAAATTCCATCAAATATTATTTCTTGAAATTCTTATTTAAAAACTTCTCCATTTAAAATGCATTTAATATATCCCATTATTATAAGTGTCACAAATATAAAAAAAAATTAAAAATATTTTTCATTTCAGGCTTTAGAACACTCAGAAACTGGTGACAGATCCGTTCATTTAAAACAGTCAATATCACTAGGGAAAGAGTTATCAAACTGAAAGATAATTTTCAGTCAAAATAATGCTAAGCTCCAAATTTCTATCAATAGGAATAATATTAACTACAAGTGACATTCACTATGCAGAACTAGATAACTAATGTGTCACTATACATTTTTTAAAAGATGACTGAGGATAGGGACAAGTGGGGAGGCAGACAGTGGCGACCTCTGGAGGATGGAATCTCTTCTCTCTGCTGGTCCTAGAAGAGAAAAGAGACACCAATAAGCATCAACACACTGTCCAAAGTCCTCCCCACCCGAGATCCACCAGTCCACAGGTGTTTCTCAACCTTACAGCCAACCTCACCTTCAAATATGGTAATCAGTGCCAACAGAATGTCAAAAATATTACCTATCTTAATTTGATTACTTCTGTCTTTAAAAATATTATTTACTTTTACATAATTGTAATCTGCATGAAATGGTGCAGAAAGCAGCCAGGCTGAAAGTAATACCTCTTAACATTCATATGAATAATAGCTTTCCAAAACCATTTCACTCAATTATTTTAAATTATAAGGAGGCTTTCAAGTAAGATCTAAATTCTCTGTAAGTGTATATGTGCTATTGCATATGAAATGCGTAGCTACTACCAAATATTTTGGTTATACATTGTTTGTGACCTATTCAATGGTCACAGGTAACGAAAAGGATGGGGAGATGGAAGTGCTTACATCAACCTGACAATGAGAAATTAACCAACTTGTACAATTCGAAAAAGGTTATTATATTCTGGAAAGAAGCCTTAAAACAATAGAAATTCAAAGAATGATGATCTATCTAAATAATTTAGACTGGCAATATTAAATAACCCCCACAGTTCTGTAATACAAATAGCAAATAGAATTCTACAGAATTTTATTTTTCTAGGAAGTACAGCTGACTGGTAATTCCAAATCACAAATTCTTAGACACCATTTACACTTTACACAACCAGTTCTCTGAATCACTGTTATTTTCTCACATATCACTGTGGAAGGCCTAGTTACTAGAAACCATGTCCAAAGTAAACTCTATATAGTAAACTTAACTCAGTCACTCAAGACTAAGACCCAAATGTATACAGTGGGGAATGAATTAATTTAAATTAAATAAACAGCATCTATGATTACATACTATTACTCTTTCCAAGTAGCATACCAGGCACTAGAAATACTAAAGTACAGGACAATGTGTGGTCATGTAAAACAGCAGAGAAAATGCCTTTTTGGAAGCCCTGAACGTTTGAAAACAAAGGCTCTTCTGGAATCACTGGCTCTGAGTGAATGCAATTTTAGCTTAAGTTGTGTTTTCTAACTGAAGTAAGTAAAGTAGGTGAACTGTTTCTGGGTTCCACTGTGCATCTACACTAGTGTACTAGCCGCAACCAAGTCCACAGGGATGTAATAAATCTAAAACTGAACGTTTGAGAGAAGTTTGGGAAGCGCCAGAGAATCAAGTTGAAAGTCTGGTTTTGTGAAACCATTAAGAATTTTAGATCTGGATAAGAGCTCAGAAAAGAAAGGAATTCACACAACCAGTCCTCTGAATCACAGTTATTTTCTCAGATATCATTGTGAGAAATTCTGGACAATTAAATTCTGGACAATTCCTTGGAAACACAACAGTAACCAAAACAGAAACAACTGTTTGACCAAGCAGACAGGCTTTTATGGCACCTTTCCTGGGAACTTCAAATGTCTTCATAAGTCACTCAACTGCACTTGCTGCAAAGATGTAACGTGCTGGGGCGACAGCACAGGGCGGAGTGCGTCCCAGCGGCCGAGACCAAGCAAAGGCCACCTTCCCGCAAGACCACGTTCACCGCGAAGGCTGGCCTCGCCCCTAGCGCGCCTGGCGCGACTCCCAATCGGCTCTGGCCCGCGCGCCGCTCTCGCGCTGAGGGCGCCAGTCACCGCATCCCACGGCCAGCGGCTCAGCGGCCCGCGCCCGCAGCGCCCGTACCTCACGCCGCTGCTCCGAAAGCCAGCGGACGCGCGCCCGGCCGTTCCCGGGGACACCACGGCGGGTGCAGCGCTCCCGCCCAGCGCCGGCCCTCGGCCCAGGAGACCACGGAGGAGCGAGGAACCACGGGCCAGTACTGTCATGGCCGCAACACCGGCTTCCCACCCCGGGTTCCACCTCCCGCAGCTGGAATCCTCACCGACAGAAGCCGGCTCTGCCCCCACCCGGCCTGGCGGAGCAAGCGCGTGGGCCAGCTGCCGGGTTCTGGGTCGCTGTGCTGGGCGGGGCCAGGAGCAGAGCTCCGGGAGGGGTTGGTCCAAGAGGAGCCGGGTCCTCAGGGGCGGGGCCAGGAGATGGACCCCTGGGAAGAAGGAGCCTAGAGGAGCCGGGTCCTCAGGGACCGGGCAAGGAGCTGAATACTGGGCGAGCGGAGGGTATTGCAGGTTCCGGAGAACTGGAGACCTCGGAGGCTGGCAGTGTGGCCTGGCGGCCGGTGTCTGCACCCACCCACATTCTGCTGACCTTCCCTTAGTGAGGGCTGAGTGAAGACATCCGAACCAATAACTTCAGGCAGCCCCCCTTTTCCTTAAGCCATACTCCCGCCCCGTCCCCAGGGTTAGGTGGAATTTGACTTGAAGCTGTAAAGTAATAGGGTCTTTGTTTTCCAATGCCTTTAGGTGACTTTGGGATACCTAGAAGAAAGAAGTCTAAGGAGATGAAGATTTGAATGTGTGGAGAAGGAAAACCTCTTCCAGCAAGTTCCTTATAAAATGTTTAATATGTGTGTGTGTGTGTGTGTGTATACACACACACACACACACACACACACACACACACACACACATATATATCAGACGATTGATTCGTTGTTCCAATTAAGACAATAAGAGTCATAGATAA